ACAAGTATCGAATGCTCAACTGACTAAGCCACCCAGGCACCCTTAAGGGCTTTTTTTTTTTTTTTAAGATTTTTTTTATTTTTCTTTTTAAGCAATCTCTATAACCACATGGGGCTCAGACTTACAACCCCGAGATCAAGAGTTGCATGCTTCCCTGACTGAGCCAGCCAGCGCCCCATGTTTGGTCATTATTCAGATTCCCCACATAAGTGAGGTCATGCAGTATCTGTCTCTCTGTCTGACTTATTTCACTTAGTATAATGCCCTCAAGGTCTATCCATATTGTTGCGCAAGGCAGGATTGCCTTCTTTATTAAGGCTGAGTAATGTTCCATTACTTGTATAGACAAACCGCATTTTCCTTATCTCTTCATCCACTAATGGACAGTTAGTTTGTTTTCAGGTCTTGACTACTATAAATAATCCTGCAATGAACAAGGGAGGGCAGAGATCTCTACGAGATCTTGTTCGCATTTCCTTTGGATAAACCCAGCAGAGGGATTGCTGGGTCATATGGTAGCTCACTTTTTATTTTTTATTTTATTTTTTAAAAAATTTTTAATATTTTATTTATTCCTGAGAAAGAGAGACTGTGTGAGCAGGGGAGGGTCAGAGAGAGAGGGAGACACAGAATCTGAAGCAGGCTCCAGGCTCTGAGCTGTCAGCACAGAGCCCGACGCGGGGCTCAAACCCACGAACTGTGAGATCATGACCTTAGCCGAAGTCAGATGCTTAACCGACTGAGCCACACAGGTGCCCCTGGTAGCTCACTTTTTAATTGTTTGAGGATCCTCAGTACTGTTTTCCAGAGCAGCCACACCAACATACATTCCCACCAACAGTGCATGAGGGTTCCGTCTTCTCTACAACCTCACCAACACTTGTTATTGTTTTTTAATGTTCATTTATTTTCGATAGAGAGACAGTGTGAGCAAGGGAGGGGCAGAGAGGGGGAGACACAGAACCTGAAGCAGGATCCAGGCTCTGGGCTGTCAGCACAGATCCTGACGTGGGGCTCGAACTCAGGAACCATGAGATCATGACCTGAGCTGAAGTCGGATGCTTAACCAACTGAGCCGCCCAGGTGCCCCTTGTTATCTTTTTTATAATAACCATTATTGGGTTATTTTTTTTTAATGTTTTATTTATTTCTAGGAGAGAGAGAGAGACAGCGTGAGCAGGGGAGGGTCAGAGAGAGAGGGAGTCACAGACTCTGAAACAGGCTCCAGGCTCTGAGCTGGCAGTCAGCACAGAGCCCGACGCGGGCTCGAACCCACGAACCGCGAGATCATGACCCAAGCGAAAGTCGGACGCTTAACCGACTAAGCCACCCAGGCGCCCCTAACCATTATTGTTTTTAATAAGATTTCATTTTTAAGCAATGTCTACACCCAATGTGGGACTCGAACTCACAACCCCAAGATCAAGAGGCGCAAGCTCTACTGACTGAGCCGGCCAGTAGCTGTTAGCCACTCTAACAAGTGTGAGGTGACATCTCATTGTGGTTTTGATTTGCGTTCCCCTCATGGTTAATGATATTGAGTGCCTTTTCATGTGCCTGTTGACCGTATGTCTTCTTTCGGAAAATATATATTTAGATCCTCTGCCCATTTTTATTATTTTTTATGTTTATTTATTATTTTGAGAGAGAGAGACACACACACACAGAATCCAAAGCAGCCTCCAGGGTCTGAGTTGTCAGCATAGAGCTGGACTCTGGGGCTTGAATTCGCAGACTAAGAGATCATGACCTGAGCCAAAGTCAGACCTAACGACTGAGCCACCCAGGCGCCCCAAGTGTCCAACTCTTGATTTTGGCTCAGGTCATGATCTCATGGTTCGTGAGATGGAGCCCTCTGTCGGGCTCTGCACTGACAGCAGAGCCGGCTTACGTTTCTCTCTTCCTCTCTCTCTCTCTCTCTCTGCTCCTCCCTTGCTTGTGGTCTGTTTTTCTCTCAAAATAAATGAATACACTTGGAAAAAAAATAACTTGGGGAACCTGAGTGGCTTAATCAGATGAGCATCTGACTTCGGCCAAGGTCATGATCTTGTGGTTTGTGAGCTCGAGCGCCACATGCCCTCACCGCTGTCAGCCTGGAGCCTGCTTCGGATCCTCTGTCCCCCTTTCTCTCCGCCCCTGCCCCGCTTGCACTTTGTTACAAGATAAACAAAATATTTAAAAAATAAGTTGATAAATCGAGAGGTTCTTCTAGCTGTTGTGTAGATTAGAGGGATTGGAATTGGCATCCGGGCTCTGCTGTTGGGGGCTGGATGTGGAAGGGCAGTGGTGAATAAGAATGACAATAGCCGGGGCCCTGGGGTGGTTCAGGTGGATTGAGTGACTCCTGATTTCAGCTCAGGTCATGATCCCAGGGTTGTGAGACCCAGCCCTGAGTGCTCTGAGTGTGCAGCCTGCTCAAGATTCCCTCTCTTTCCCCTGCCCCTCCCCTCGTAAAAAAAAAAAAAAGACAATAGCAACGGTTCGGAAGTGGTGGGTCCTGTGGCCCGGTTCTAAGCATTCTGCATATTCATTTCATCCTTCTCACAAACCCTAGGAATTAGAGACTCTTACTAGCCCATTTGGCAGATGAGGAAACTGAGGTGTAGAGAGGCGAGGTCACGCTGCAGCATCTGCTAGGTGGCTGTGACTGTTGTGCTGCTTTGGGGGGACCAGGAGAGCTGAAGACAGATTATGAAGGGGACTGACGGGCCCTGGTAAGGGAGATGATGGAGGCTGGGGGTGGGGAGTGGGGCAAAGGTGTGGGAGGAAAAGCCAGCAGGAGTGAAACGCAGGATCGATTAGGGACACACGGAGCCTGGGGAGCCTGGGGGACATTCCAAGGGGGACCCATGTGGAGACTGGACCCCAGGATGGGGACAGAGACCTAGGTGGAGAGAGGAGGGGGTGGTACTCATTGAGAAGGGGATGAAGGGAAAAGAATCCAGGACCGCACCATAAAACACCCCCCCTCCTTCAAGGAACCAGCTTGACTGTGGACGGGGTGGTCAGCCACCAGATCAAACAGAAGGGGGTCACCTGTGGCCCCACAGCCCAGCCGTCCCCTGTGTCAAGTTCTCCTTCCCATTCCACATGTTGCGTTGCGCTCACTGTGTTGTTGAGTCCTGTTGTGCACCAGGCCACCTGGTGAGTGTTGAGGGGCCAGCAGTGAGCAAGATGGACAGCGATCCCTGGCCTCGTGGCGTGGTGGCGACAGAGGAAATAAATACTATTTACATATATATGATCAGTGCTATGGTCTGAATGTTTGTGCCCCCCCATCATGCCCAATGCATAGATTGAAACCCTAACCTCCAGGGCGATGCGATTAGGAGGTGGGGCCTTTGGGAGGTGATCAGAGGTTAGATGAGATCTGGAGGGTGGGGACTCCATGATGGAATGAATACTCTTATAAAAACACGGAAGAGACAAGATCTCTCTCTCTCTCTCTCTCTCTCTCTGCCTACACATCACCAAAGAAAGGCCATGTGAGGACATAACCAGCAATAGGCCCTCGCCAAGAGCTTGGCTGCACTGGCACCATGATCTCACACTTCCATCCTCCAGATGAGAAAGAAATGCTTATTGTTTAAGCCACCCGGTCTGCAGGATGTGTTACAGCAGCCTGAGCTGACTCAGTCAGGTTGTGGTGACCGCCCTGGGAAAAAACAGAGCAGGGAACAGGAAAGGAGCCTAAAGACGGGCGCGGGGTAGATTTTGAGCAGGGTCAGCCTGCTGGGATGACATTTGAATAAATTCCTGAAAGAGGTCCAGGAGGAGCCATGCAGATACTCCCAGGATGAGAAGGCTAGGCAGGCAGGGGGAACCGCAAGAGCAAAGGTCCTGCGGTGAGATTGCACCTGTTGTTTGAGAAAGGAGGCAGGTGTGGCTGAAAGCAGGTGTCGTGAGGGAGGAGTGGAGGGCAAGTCAGGGAGGTGGCTGTCTCTTTTCGTGCTGTTTACATGTCCCACACCCTCAGCCAAATCTTCATCCTACTTCCTTCAGCCTTCTGAGGACGGTGCCCTTGGGCTGGCCACTAGAGGCCACCTTCCCTGAGTTTCACAGGGTCAGTCCACTGTCATCTGCGTTTGAGGTCATGATCGGTTTTCCCTGAGCCCTGACGGTGCCTCCAATGTCATGCTTAAGTGCTTCACAGGGAAGAACTCAGCTCCTCCCCCTGAGTCAGACACATTCACATTTTTACAGCTTTATGGAGGTATAACTGGCATACAACAAACCACACACATTTCATGTGTGCAACCCGATGAGTTTCACGTCCTGGAAACCAGCACCCAGATCAAGATACTAAACATATCCAGCACCTCAAGAAGTATATTCTAGTCCCTTTTGGTCCCTCCCTCTAGACTCTCCCCACGCCACCCCAGACACCCCGAAACTGATCTGTCCTCGGTTACTAGAGATGAGGTTGCATTTTCCGGGGTTTTATATACATGGGACCAAAGAATATATACTCTTCTTTTTTTTTTTTTAATTTTTAATGTTTTATTTCTGAGAGAGAGAGAGAGAGAGAGAGACAGCATGAGCAGGAGAGGGTGAGAGAGAGAGGGAGACACAGAATCTGAAGCCGGCTCCAGGCTCTGAGCTGGCTGTCAGCACAGAGCCCGACGCGGGGCTCAAACCCACGAACTATGAGATCATGACTTGAGCCGAAGTCGGACGCTCAACCGACTGAGCCACCCAGGCGCCCCTATATTCTTCTTTTTTATCTGGCTTCTTTCCCTCCGCAGAATTATCACGAAGATTCGTCAATGTTGTTGCGTGTATTTGAGGCTCTTTTTTGCTCGTAAGGAAACTGAGGCACACAGAGGCGTGGCTTGGGGGAGTGAGGAGGCGGTGCCACATGGGTTTGGGGGCGTCTCCGGTGCGCAGGCCGCGGAGGGGCGCTCTCGGGGGTGGGACGCGGGCAGGTGCACACACGCGCGGCGACCCCGCCTGGACCGCCTTTCCCGGCCCTCCGTCGGGGGCGGGGCCGGGGCGGGGCTTCCCGGCTCTGGGGCCTCCGATAAGGGCCTGCGGGGGGCTCGGGCGCGCCTGGGCGCTGCGATAGGGTGACGGGGCGTGCTCGTGGGACGCCGCGGGGAGGCGCCGCGGCCCGAGGTCCCGGTGCGGCCACCCGGAACCGGGTCCGGGGCCCCAGGCTGGAGCCGGGCGGGGCGGGGCGTCCGGCCGTGTTGCGCCCGCCCGGCTCCCGGGGCCAGCGCCGCTAAAATGGCGGCGGCGGCGGCGGCGGCGGTGACAGCGTCCCGCACCGGGCCCGGGGGCCTGGCCGCCGTGTCGGGGGCCGACTAGCGCCTTCCCGGGCGCCGCGGTCCGGCCCCCCCGGGCGCACTCGCGCGGCCCCCACCTGGGCCCTCGGTCCGCCCTCCCGGCGCGCCCATGAACTCGGTGTCGCCGGCCGCCGCTCAATACCGGAGCGGGAGCCCGGAGGACGCGCGCCGCCCCGAGGGCCGCAGGCCGCGGGGTCCCCGAGTCCCGGACCCCAACGGCCTGGGGCCTTCCGGAGCCAGCGGCCCGGCTCTTGGCTCTCCTGGGGCCGCCCCTGGGGAGCCGGACGAGGTGGACAAGTTTAAGGCGAAGTTCCTGACGGCCTGGAACAACGTCAAGTACGGTGAGGAGGGGGCGGGCCCGGGGGTTGTGTGCTGAGATAGGAGCCAGCTAAGGGTTGGGCCTGGCGGGGTCTGGGGGGTGGGGGTGGGGCTCGAGGTCGGTGGGAGTCCAGGAGCACCGGACGCTGGCCCTGCCCAGTGTTCACCATTTGCTCTCCTCTTGTGAGTCACCTGTGGGTCCCCCACCCTGTCCTGCCCTGTCCCGGGCGGACCTGCAGCAGGTCGGAAAGGGAATGTGTTTTCAAGTCTCATCCATTCCCGTGTGACCTTGGGCAAGGTTCTTTGCTCTGCTGTGCCTTCATTTTTCCCTCTGTAAAACGGATACAGTAATCGGAACTGCTTTATTCGTCCGGAATTGGTGGCAGACACTCACGTGGCTGTTACTACGGCCCTGCCTCCGTCTGAGAGGAATGTGGCATGGATTCCCCCCCACGTGTGAGCCCTGAGATGGGACCTAGGATGGCCTCCATTGCACAGAGCCAGGACTGGAAGCGCTGTCGCTGTCATAACTGTTAGGTTAAGTGGCTGTCAGGCGAATGCTCCAACTCGTTGGGTGCTGCCCCGCGTCTCCCCCCCACCCCCAGGTTGGGCAGTCAAAAGCCGGACCAGCTTCAGCAAGATCTCCAGCGTCCACCTCTGTGGCCGCCGCTACCGCTTCGAGGGCGAGGGTGAGCTGGTGGCCCCAGTCTGCGCTGGGGGGAGGCACGCCCCGAAGGCGGTGCCTGGTGGCGGCCGACAAGCCTGCTCTCTTAGGTGACATCCAGCGTTTCCAGCGGGACTTCATGTCCCGCCTGTGGCTCACGTACCGCCGGGACTTCCCGCCCCTCGCTGGCGGCTGCCTGACCTCGGACTGTGGCTGGGGGTGCATGCTTCGCAGTGGGCAGATGATGCTGGCTCAGGGCCTTCTCCTGCACTTCCTGCCCCGAGGTGAGTGGGGGGAGGGCAGGGCCCCTGTTGCAATTGTGTGTAAACTAAGTTCACGCTTCTGTTAGACGCTGTGCGAAGTTTGGGGGGCGTGGCAGTTTGTAAGTTTCGGGGGCGTGACAATTTGTAAGTTTCCGGAATGGGAAAAGCGTTGGTAAATGAGGCCTGGCGAATCGTAGGTCAAGCATGAGCCGGTGGGAAGTGTGCCCCTCTCCACCCCCCCCCCCCCGCCCCGTCCCCCCCCCCCCCCCCCCCCCCCCCCCCCCCCCCCCCCCCCCCCCCCCCCCCCCCCCGCCCCGTCCCCAATCTGACTGTGTGCTCCATCCCCACCAGACTGGACCTGGTCCGAGGGCTCGGGCCTGGGCCGCTCCGAGCCATCAGGGTTGGCCTCTCCCAACCGTTACCGCGGGCCTGCTCGCTGGATGCCCCCACGCGGGGCCCAGGGCACCCCCGAGCTGCAGCAGGAGCGGCGGCACCGGCAGATAGTGTCCTGGTTCGCCGACCACCCCCAGGCCCCCTTTGGCCTACACCGGCTGGTGGAGCTTGGGCAGAGCTCGGGCAAGAAGGCGGGTGACTGGTATGGGCCATCTCTGGTGGCGCACATACTCAGGTGAGGGCCGCTGCAGGGGACCTGGGAGGCACCTGCTTCCCCCAGGAACTCAGGCATTGCCTACCGCCCCCCCCCAGGAAAGCCGTGGAGAGCTGCTCAGAGGTTACCCGCCTGGTCGTGTATGTTTCTCAGGACTGCACAGGTAAGAGACTGGCAACCACGGTCACAGGGGTCGGGCCCTGAGCCGGTCGCTAGGACCCACCTGCCTCAGAGGCTGAAATAAGTTCCGGGGCAGAGGGAGCCTTGGGAAGAATTCAAGGCCCACACAGTGCAAGGTGCTTAGGACCCCTCCACTCCCTCTGGAGCCTGGAGAGGACACTGTAGAGGCTTCTCTGCAAGTGATAAAATAAAGGACACAGGACTCCCCTCTCTCAAGTCCAATTGGTCTTACTCTGTAAATAGTTCTTTTTTTAAAATTTATTTTTTAATGTTTATTTTTGAGAGAGAGAGAGAGCAAGCAAACAGGAGAGGGGCAGAGAGGGAGACACAGAATCTGAAGCAGGCTCCAGGCTCTGAGCTGTCAGCACAGGGCCCGACAAGGGACTTGAACCTATGAACCACGAGATCATGACCTGAGCTGAAGTCGGACACTTAACCAGCTGAGCCGCCCAGCCAATTAAATAAATAATTCTAACATGTACAAGAGTCTGATCTGTGCCTCATGGGATTGTCATGAGGATTAAATGAGTTAATAATACAAGTTAAGCCCTTAGAGCAGTGCTTGTCAAATAGGAAGTGTTCATTAAATCTCAAGGTATTAGTATTATTGTTCCCCACTATCCTCCAAATCAGTTTATTTATTTATGAGAGAGAGAGACAGAGTGTGAGTGGGGGAGGGGCAGAGAGAGGAGACAGAATCAGAAGCAGCTCCAGGCTCTGAGCTGTCAGCACAGAGTCCGACATGGGGTTTGAACTCACGAACCATGAGATCATGGCTTCAGCCAGTCAGATGCTTAACTGACTGAGCCCCCCAGGCGCCCCTCTGAGGTCTTTTTTATAAAGTCACTAACCTCACTCATGAGGACTCCTTCATGACCCAGTCACCTCCCAAAGGCCCCACTTCTTAATGCCATTGCCTTAGGGATTAGAATTTCCTTTTTTTTTTTTTAATGTTTATTTATTTTTGAGAGAGAGCCCGTGTGTGTGCACGAGCAGGGGAGGGGCAGAGAGACTGGAGAGAGAATCCCAAGCAGGCTCACCGCGTCAGCACGGAACCTTACGCAAGGTTCAGGACTCGATCCCATGTCCCGAGATCAAGAGCCAGACGCTCAACTGACCGAGCCACCCAGGCGCCTCTGGGGAGTAGAATTTCAACATCTACATTTTGGAGGAAAATGCAGCATTCAGATCTTAGCAGCTACATTTCCAGAGGGGTTGAATCCGCTTTTCTGGGAGCCCGGAAAGGGCTTACCTAGCAGTAAGGGAGGCGGTGGGAGAATGCAGAGCAGCAGATTGGACTTGAGGAGGAGGGACCCACAGGGATGTTCAGCTGAGGGGTGGTCGGCCCGGTGCCCCCCTTGCCCTTTGGCCAATCTGTGCTCTAAGTCAGTCAAGACCGATCGGGCCTGGAACTGGGGGGGTTGCTCTGCCTCCTCGGGTTTTCTGTTTTTCATGTAAACCTCAGGGCCTCAGTTGCCTTCTCTGTAAAATGGGGATGTCGACACCTACCTGGGAACCATGGGATTGCCCGGGGAGGGTGGGGTTTGGGACGGGCACCAGAAAGACCTCCTTCTCCGCTGGTGACAGGAGTGGGACCCTGAGAGGTTACGTGGGCTCGCGGAGGGCGGGCGACAGGAGGACTTGCCGCGCTGTCCTTCCAGTGTACAAGGCAGATGTGGCACGCCTGGTGGCCAGGCCGGACCCCGCAGCCGAGTGGAAGTCTGTGGTCATCTTGGTGCCGGTGCGGCTGGGTGGCGAGACCCTCAACCCTGTGTACGTGCCGTGTGTGAAGGTAGGTTCCACTGAGCCTCCCCTGGGAACTGGCCAGGCTTCCGCGGCCTGGGGTGGGTGTCTGCGCTTCCTTTGCCTCCGTATCTGTTGACTCGGTGGTTGCGAAGCACCCCTTACGTGCGGAGCACCGTCCCAGCTGCCGGGGACTCGGAGGCGGACAGGCAACCAGTGGTGCCCGCCGGGAGCGGGGACGGCCAGACGGTGGGTGTGAGCCCAAACCCACAGCTGTGGCGTCTCGCCTTAGATTCTAGAGGCACTAAAACTAACGCCGTGAAGGGCAGATGGCTGCAGCCTAGGAAAGCCCCTCTCCAGCCAGGGTGGAGCGCCCCAGGCAAAAGGAATGGCAAGGCTGGAAACACCCTGGTGTTCTCACTCAGAATAAAGGCCAGAGTTGTCCCTACAGCCTGCAAGGCCTCGCACCGCATCCCTGTCTGTTCCTCGACCTCCTCTGCCCCCACTCTCCTTCTCGCTTCACCCTGCCCCAATCACATGGGGCTCCTCACTGCTCTCAGAACACACCTGCCCCAGGGCCTTTGCACTCACTGTTCCATCTGCGTGGAGGGTTCTTTCCCCAGAGATGCACTCCTGACGCCCTCTCTTACCTCATCCAGGTCTTTGCTGAAACGTCACCTCTCGGTGAGGCCTTTCTGCTTCCCCTTACCTCAAATCACAAGCCTTCTTCCATCCTTTGTTCTCTCGGTGTTATTGCCTGCTGACACCCGATGGAACTTACTTATCTCCCACAGTAGAGTGTCAGCTCCCTGAGAACGGGCTGGGGGTTGTGCTAAGTGTTCATCAAGGGACCGTCACTGACGGCACCTGCCTGGAGCCCACTCCTCCAGCCACTTTCCTCCCTGCAGGAGCTCCTGCGTTCAGAGCTGTGCCTGGGCATCATGGGGGGCAAGCCACGCCATTCACTGTACTTCATCGGCTACCAGGGTAGGCCCGCCCCGTCCCACTCCACCCCCCCACCTGTCCCCTCCCCAGCCCCTCTCACGCCTCCACCCTTGCAGACGACTTCCTGCTCTACCTGGACCCCCACTACTGCCAGCCCACTGTGGACGTCAGTCGGGCTGACTTCCCCCTGGAGGTGAGCCACTGGGATCCCTGGGGTGGGGCCGGGGGATGTGGACGGAGCGGGGGCCCTGAGCTTCCCGCATCTGTACACCCCAGTCCTTCCACTGCACCTCACCCCGAAAGATGGCCTTCGCCAAGATGGACCCAAGCTGTACGGTGGGGTTCTATGCTGGAGACCGGAAGGAGTTCGAGACGCTCTGCTCAGAGCTGACCAGGGTGAGCGAAGAGGGGTGGAAGGTGGGGGGCCAAGGGGCAAGGAGGGAGTGGAAGACCCTGAGTCCAGCTCACACTTGGGGAGACCTGCAGGCTGTGTCAAGATCATTATGCTGCCCGCAGGCTACGAAAGCCCGGGCTGTACGTAACCGATTAGACAAAAAGGGCATAAAATGAAAAGTTAGGGGCATTGTTGCTTGAGCTGCACCCTGAGGGGTCCAGTGGTGGGGCGTCTCCCCATCCCCTGGCTCTGCAGTCCCCTCAGGACGTCAAAAGGTGGCCGCCAGCCTTCCTGGGCACCCACCTCCCAGTTCAGCGGAAAGGGAGCTCCGCTTTCCCAACAGATGCAGCAAAAATCCCAGGGTTGCTCTTCACCGGTTACACTGGGGCACAAACCCATCACTGGGCCAATCATGGGGTGGGGGGGGATGGGCGTTGCTGATCAGCTGGCCTCGGTCATTGCCCTGAGGGATGGGAGCTGAGCTCAGGCAGCATCTGATAAGTGTACCTACTGGGATAATTGTAGGACAGTGAACGTGGTTTGGAGCTCCGCCACTCTCTCCCTCCTCCCTCCAGGTCCTCAGCTCCTCCTCGGCCACAGAGCGGTACCCCATGTTCACCCTGGCCGAGGGCCATGCTCAGGACCACAGCCTGGACGACCTCTGCTCCCAGCTCTCCCAGCCGACGCTGCGGCTCCCTCGCGCGGGGCGGCTTCTCAAGGCCAAACGCCCAAGCTCTGAGGACTTCGTGTTTTTATGACGCATGGGGCTGGGGGCTAAGATGCGCACTATTTATTTTTTTATTTATGTCATGCTGGGTGTGGGAGCTTGACGGCGGGAGGTGACGGGTCTCCCCCTTCCCGCCCCCTTGACAAGCGCAGCTGAGATCAGTCCAGGAAAGCTCAGGGCCGTTCAGACGCTGGGCCTCCCGCCAGCTGGGCCCCCCTCACAGGGCAGGGAGGGAGGGCTTCCGGACACCCACTCAGGGCCTGACCCAAGTACTGTAGTTTGCACTGGACCACCCATGCCCCTCGCTGGTCCCACGGCCCCCGCCCTGCTGAGGACTGGGGGTGCGGGGGGAAGGGAGCTGTGGCCACCGGGGCCTAATAAAGCCGTTTAATTGGACTGTGGCTATGGCTGGGCCCAGCATCTAAGGGGTGGGGTCCAAGCCGTGTCTCAAGGTGAGGTGCGGGGGGAGCCTGTTAGGTAGGCTGCTGCTTCCACGGCTTCTGCGGCCACAGGTAGACACCAGGGTCTATACGGTCCACAAGCTCGACTGGAGGGGAGGGAGCCCCAGGGCCCCTGCCTGTTCCCTGGAGCTCAGGGGCCGCCCTTGGGACCCTGGGGCTTCCTCCGTTGCCGGCCCAGCTGCCGGAAGTGCAGCCGTTTGGGGTTGAGACCAAAGGCCTGCAGTCTCTGGCGGCTAAACTCCTGTCCACCGAGGGTCACGGGACCCAGGAGACGCGCCTTCTTGCCCCGCCTCCGCCTCTGGGGGACTGGCTTCTGGGTGGGAGACCCAGAACCCGCCTCTTCCTGTGCAGGGGGGCTCCCAGGCTGGGGCCGCTTCCCGCAGGCCCCATCAGCTGCCAGCAGCTGGCCCGGAGGGCCTCCTTGGTCTCTCTGTGGCTTCCCTGTGGCTTCCGTGAGCGTCTCCGTCCTGAGGAGAAAAGCAGGGGCTCAGCCCAAGGCTGTCAGGCCTGTTCCTGAGCACACGTCTCCCATTTGATAGAGAAGGAAAGGAGAGGTTCAGGGAGGCAAATCGGGGGCCTGCCTCAGACTCAAACCCAAGCCTGACACCAAAACTGGGGCTTTTCTTACTGAAGTTGGAGGCTGGACTGTATTGCTGATAATTCTGGTACCTGGGCCTCTACTGAGCTATTCATGGAAATGGACTTATTTCAGCTTTAAATCAACTCTGAGCTGTTATCACCCCTGCTTTATAGATCAGGAAATAATGGCCATAATACTAACACCTACACGGCATTTACTCTGTTGTAAATGCGTCACGTGAATCAGTTCACTTAATCCTCAAAAACCCAACAAGAAATGAGCCATCTTTACCCCCATTTAAAAAAATGAGGAAACAGGCCCAGAAAGGGCAAGTGCTTTGGCCAAGGTCACACAGCTATGGCCCAGCCAGAATCTGAACCCAGGTATCAGAGAAAGGAACCGCCATTCTCAGAGCCAGGCAGCAAAATGGCCGACGGAGTAAGATTCAAACCCAGGCCCAGCGGGCCCCCTCTTCCAGCCAGTGACACTCACTCCTCTGGGCAAAGTGACTTGAAGATCTGCCTCTTTTTCCAGGAGTTCTGGGCCTTTTGGGTGTACGCCCTCTTGTCCTGGAGCTCCTCTTGCTCGGACCTGCGGGTGCCCAGCAGACACGCCCATTGCCCGATGCTCTGGGCGCTCAGGGAGGGGCCTGTGCCTGGCCGCCCCCGCCCCAGGACACCTGGCCTGGCCCCGAACCTGTCACCTGTACATGCAGGTCTTCTTCAGGGAACACCACCGGTTCAGCTCCTTGTCATCGGCAGCGAGGATCTACACAGGGAGGGAGGGTCGGGTCCTGCTGTTTGAGCCCTGGGTCAGGGGTGTAGGCGGCCCAGCTCTCTGAGCCTTAGCCACCTCCCTGGTCAAAGCAGGGCAATGCTCCTACCAAGCTCAGCAGGGCTGTCACCACAGCAGGACTGGTTTCTGTGGAGGCCACTAGATGTTCTTGGCAGGGGACATCGGATGGGGAAAGTGAGGGTCAGCAAGGCGATCCTTGCCCGAGTCACATGGGACATCAGATGGAGAAACTGAGGCTCAGCAAGGCGATCCTTGCCCGAGTCACAAGGCCAGGGATTTAAGATCCCAGTTTAGGGGGGCCCAGGGGTCCTAGAGCCTCACTCGGGCACTGTGGTCCCAGCAGCCTCAGAACAGGGCAAGGGTCTCGGTGCTAATGACCGGGTGTGCTAATTACAGATGAGGCCCAGCCTCCCAGCGCCAGGCCTCAGTTCCCTCATCTATAAGATGGGCAAGCCCCTTAGAAACTATTCAGATTGAGGACATGCAAATGGCATGAGCTCCATCAATGTCGTCTTTGCTGACCTATAAGAAGAGTCAAGCACCCTGAGGGACAAGTGCCATTCCAAGAGCCACACACATTCATTTGGCCTCCAGAGCCATGGGGTGGGGGCTGTCATTAGGCCTGTTTTACAAGTGGGGAAACTGAGGCACAGCATTCGAGGTCAGGCAGTTGCTGAGTGACCAAAGCAAGATTTGGATTCAGGCCATCTGTTTCCAAGGCCTGTTCCCAAGTCTTAACGGCCACCCAACTGTGGATATACGGCGACAGAATTAAAAGTGCTATTCACGGAGGCATCCGTGGGCAAAGCCATTTGAGGCAGGTCACGTTCTGAGTACTGTTGTCGGCGCTAACACTCCACACTCCCTCCTGCCCACGGGGCGCCCCCTGCCCCTGTGCCAGGCATCCCTCGGGGGCCCCACCTCCTCGGTGCTCAGCCCGAAGTCACAGGGAACCACGGTGCGGTACTTAAAGCGACAGGGCAGGTCGTCAATGATGTCCTCGTAGTCCAGTTGGTAATACTCATCCAGATACTCCTCGAACGTCTTGTCCCCTGCGCGGGGAGGGAGCCAGGCTGCCGGGCTGTGCCAGGCCCCACCGAGTCTCTGCCCGCCCCCCGCCCGCAGCCCCGGGCCTCACCAGGGTCAAACACCGGCTTTTCCTGCCCCACGGCCGTGGCGAAGGGCGACTTGCGCTTCCTCTTGCCTGTTGAGGGGGCCTTGCGCCGCTTTTTCCGAGGCTGGCTGGGGTCATAGTCAGCGTCCATCTGCCAAGATGCAAAGGTCAGGCCAACCCCCAGGGGAGGGGGCCCTCCCCCCCCTCCCCAGGCACCTACATTGAAATCGGGGTCCTCGCAGTGCGGCTCCTGATGGCTCCAAACTCCATCCTGCTCAGGCCCAGCCCACGTGTCCCAGTTCCAGTCATCTGGTTCCAGAGGAGACGTAGGGGGTCAGGGTGGAACTTTGGACTTGAGACCCAGCCACTACCCCAGGCTGGTGCCCCCAGTGACCTCACCTTCAAGCCCTTCTTCTTCCTCAAACTGCGGCTTCTCCTGCTCCGCGGTGCCATAGTACTCGTCCCCGAAGCATCTCTGCGGGGGGCGGAGCCAGGAGGGGTCAGCAAGGCCTCTCCTCCCCCCCACAGTCTGGCTCCTGCACCTTGCATGGGCCCCAGCACCCTCAAGACCTAGCTGCGGCCTGTGGGCCCCTCCAGGCCCGATGCCCCCGCTTCTGGTCCCTAGAGCCACGGTTCTTTCCCTCCCACAGGCCTCTGCGCCTGCGGCACCCCCTCCCTGGCCGCCTGCCCTCACCCGCTCACCACCGTGCCTGACAAAGCCGACCGGAGACTCCCCGAAGACCCCACCTCCCCATGCACTCCCCGCATCACCACTCTGATCCCTGGGGGCTCTAACCGTACAGCTAAGTGCCTGCCATTAGACTGGGAGCTCTGGGAAGGCAGGGACGGACCACTACACTTCCTGGTGCTCAGTGACTATCAGACTGGTTCTTGCTGTCCCATGAGCTCCAAGTCTACCGGGCCCTTGCTGGAAGCCCAGCACCCAGGGGGCACCTGGCAAAGGCATATTGCCCACGGTGTTATTAAGCACCTACTGTATGCCCAACGCTGGGCTGCATCTCACTGCATTCTCACACACCCCCCCCCCGAGGTACAGAACTACCTCCATTCTACTGAGGAACCGAAGCCTACGCGTCCTCAGTCTCCTTCTCTGATCTCCTAGGCTTGGTCAGGGGCCTCTCGGGCTCCTGGGGTCCCCGCTTTCCCCGTACGACCTCACTGCCTGTTTCCATGGCCTGGTGCTATGGCCGCTCTAACCCAAGGGTACACAGCGGCAACAAGATGAAATAAAACACTACTCCTTGAGCATTACTGACGTTTACACGCGTTCCTCTTAGGCTGTCCTTACAGCAGGCCTGAGGCAGACGCTACAGTGGAACTCACTTTCCAGACAGGGACACACGCTCAGAGAGATCAAGTCACTGCTCAGAGGCCACACAGCCGGGAAACCACCGCTGATTCCAGAGCCTTGTCCCGGGCGCTGCGGGGCGGGGCGCGGGGGGGGGCGCAGGGGCCGCACCTGCATGAGCTGGTCGTGCCGCGTAGGGTCGAAGTCTTCCTCTAGGTCCTTCTCCTCAAAGCCCAGCGGCTCGTTGCCCGTGACCTGCCGCAGCCTCTCCAGCTTGGCCAGGATCTCCTTCCTTTTCAGGTTCTTCAGCTGCTTGAGCTCCTCCTGCTTCTTCGCTTTCTCCTGCGGGGGACGGGCCACGGGGAGAGGGGGGCGTGGGCTCTCCCTGCCCGGCGGGCAGCCCTCCCTGGCCTGACGCCCCCACACTCACCCTCCTCTTCCGCTCTCGCGTCTCCTCTCTCCGCTCCTTCCTGCGCTCGGCCTTGCGGCGCACGGAGGACGCAATGCTTCGGGGGTAGGTCTTGACCTGTGGGCGCCAAGGGAGCCCAGAAAGGGCCGCGGAGATGATTCTGGGCTCTCCCGGCCTGGCCCCCAAGGTCCGGGTCCCGCCCAGCGCCAGCCCGGGCCACGCACCACGGCTGAGTCCGGCTCCTCGAAGCGGAAGTTGTACTTGTGCTCAAAGTCCTCCTGCTTCTTCAGAAAGAGCTCCCCCTCATCTGAGGAATCGTCCACGGCCAGCTGGACCGGGAGGGCGGGGCCCCTGAGGGACAAGATGGGGCAGGGCTGGGTGTCAGCGGGGCCCCTGCACTCATTTCATCCTCGTAAGGATCCTACTTTTGGGGCACCTGGGTGGCTCAGTCGGTTAAGCATCTGACTCTTGATTTCGGCTCAGGTCATGATCTGTGGTTCGTGAGCTCGAGCCCCGTGTCAGGCTCTGTGCGGACAGCGCAGAGCCTGCATAGGAACCTCTCTCGATCCCTCTCTCTGCCCCTCCCCTGCCTGTGCGTGCCCTCTCTCCCTCTCTCTTCCTCTCTTTCAAAACAAATAAATAAACTTCAAAAAAGATCCCTACTTTTGAGGCATCTCCCCATTTGACGGAGGGGGAGCCCGAGGACAAGACGTAGCGACAGGGCCACCCAGCTCGAGCCCACGGTCCGCGGCTCTTCCTCACGGAACAAGAACTCTGCTACCATCTGTGTGAAAAAGCAAACGCCTGGTGCCCTTGGCTTTCTGGCTGGCATCGGCTCCAGGCCCCGGACATGGTTACTCACCCTTCTTCCTCCTCCTCTTCCTCCTCTTCCTCGCCTTCCTCCTCCTCCTCCTCATAGCGTTTGTTGAGAATATAATCGCGCAGGAACCGCTCCCCTTCATCCAACTCTGGGTCATTCCAATATTCTTTGAGGTGGGTCTGGGGTCAAGGGAGGGATACGACATCTTTTCCCTGGGGGCCGGGAAAGATGTGGGCACGGGCCCCCTGCAGATTTAAGTAACTGACACTCCACCGCCAGCCTATAAAGCAAAGGGGCCAATCCCCATTTTATAGAGATAGGAACTGGTACCCAGAGACGGGCACGCCTGGTCTGCAGGCTCTGTGCTCCTGACTCCTGACTCGCCCTCAAGGATTCGTTTCCAGAAAAAGGCTGGAGGAGACGGTGCAGACGTAACTCACCAGCTCTTTCAGGCTGTCAGTGCTGTGAATCTCCTTCTGCCCCTTCAGCCACTCCACGTAGTCCGCATCCTCATGGGCCTGAGGGTAGGTCAGCACTGAGGGTCTGGGGACACCTTCCTGACAGCAGCCCCCCTCCCACCACGCCCCCCCCCTCCTGTCCATCCAGGCTCCAGCACTTACCTTCTCCTCCCTCGTTTTAGCGCGTTTCTGCAGCAACCCGGAGCCACCTTCCCCGGCACTGTCCTCACTCTCGCTGTCTTCCACAAAAGCCCGGAAGCTGCCCATGGGAGAGAATAAGCCTCAGGATATGCAGGCAGGTCCCTGCCCACAGTCGCAACATTAACCCCGTGTGCTAACCCGCCTTGTGAAGCTCTGAGCCCTTCACAGCAAGCTCAGAGCAGAGCTGTCACACAGAGAGCACCATCAACCCCCTTTAACAGATGAGAAAACTGAGGCACGGAAAGACTAAGTGACGTGCCCAAGGGTGTTACTTCACCCAGCCATGAAGTAACAGGGCTGGATTTGAACCGGGGCCTGTCCAATCCCGTGGCCTCAGTCCTATCCATCCAGCCATTCAACCCGCCCAGGCTCACCTTTCCTTGAGCTGCTTCTGCTCTTCCACGTAACTTTTCGACGAGATTTGCTGCAGAGAGAGTGACAAGGGCATCAGGCCCAGCCCCCAGCCCCGCAGCCCCCCGACCAGGCCTCTACCCCACCTACCTGGAGTCTCTGATTGGAGGTCTCCTCGTCTGAATTTTCCTCATCGATATATTTGCTGCGCAAGGAAGAACAGAGCCTTCAGAACAGAGTCCCCGTGGCTCGTCTGCCCCCACGGGGTGGGGAGCTGTTAGAGCAGCCGTCGGGGGACAGTGGCGTACAGGTGAGTCACTGACAGCTGTGCTCTGGGGCTCCCTCAATCCTGGTGAGTCTCCGCCAGCTTCTTTCCACCCTTGTTTCTAAAGACTCCCATGTCTCTGTCCGCCCGCCCTGGGAAGGCTGGCGGGGGGGGGGGGGCAGTGGCAGGGACTCAGGGTCTCTCCTCACCCTTCCTTCTCCAAGATAACCTTCCTTTCATAGTCCTTCAAGTACATGGGCCGTATCTTCTTCTGCTTCTCCTCGGCTGCTGGCGCTTCCTCGCTCTCCGAGGAGGATACTGTCGGGTTGCCAGAAGACACCTGCCATTACCCACAGCCCCCCTCCTTCCCCAGGTGGAGAATCCCACAGGGCTGGGCCAGGACACCCCAGGTTTCGAATCCCAGAGCCACAAGTTCCCAGCTGTGAAACAGGTATCACGTTTATGCTACATCGCTGGTAGCTGGCGACGCTCATTCAGTGAATAACTCATGCTTTGATCAGTGCTAAGCACACGGTTGTTAACAACAGCAAGTAATAATCTAAACACTCTGCTAAGCACTGTCGACACAGAGCATATAACGTATAAGGGTTCATTAAGAAGGCACAACACCCAGTAAGGCAATGGGGAGCCTGAGCCTTAGAAATGAGCAGCCCCAGACCTGTTCTCTGATAGAAGGTGGCATCTTTCTGATAAATGCGGGGGTCCTTCTTCTTCAACAAGGAGAGAGTTCTGTAAAAGTCACGCTCTTGCTGGGGGTCAAATTCCTAAGGAATGAAAAGGATCGGGAACAGACTTCAGAAAGGAGATGGAGAGAGCCTTGGTGGAGGCTAGGGAACACTAAGTAAGAGCGGCAGGTGGGCTGCGAAAGCGTGGAAATTAGGGTGGAGGGAGGGGTACACATTAGGAGGCTGGAGAAGGGATCTGGCTGGACAGAGGCAGGTAGGGGGCTCCAGGGTGGGTATGAGGGGAGATCGGGAGATGTCAAAGAGGTGGAGGAGGAAGAGGGGCCCTCTTTGCGTGGACAAGGGTAGACCACACAGTACAGGATCTGAAATGGGGGGGCGCAAGGGGAGGATACTTCCGGAAGACAAAGGATTGGCGGGGGGGGGGGGGGGGG